TATGGGCTTGCTTTGCTAGATGAAAATGTCTTGCGAGTCTTGCGATTTTTTTCGCTCCCCCCCCCCTTTTTCTAAGCCGCTAAGCCGCTAATAGCCTTTTAGCCACTAAGCCACTAAGCCTTTAATAGCCGCTAAACCGCTAATAGCGCTAATCCGCTAATAGGGTTGCTTCGCAAGACGAAAAAACCGCTAGACGAAGAGACTCGCGGAACGGATTATTTTCGTCTTGCGAGGCACCACTGTAGAGAAAACAAGTGCAGCTTTTTTGTGGGAACTGACTATAGGGTACAAGGCTGCAGAGCTAAAACCCCACAGGTCCAGTAGTCAGGAGCCCTGCTCCACAAGGAAGAATCAGTCCAGGAGTAACAGTCCTAGAAAAGCAGAGTAGCTCTGCCACTAGCTATAGCACAGGCCATTTGGTGCCTCACTATCTCAAGCAGACCTTGAGATTGTCACTCTCTTGCTGAGCCTAACCTACTTCACAGGGTTGTTGTGAAGATAAAAATGTGTCTCTTTGGATATAATAATGTACACTGCTTCCTTAAGCCCCTTGGAGGAAGGATGAGATAGAAATGTAAGAAATCAATCAAACGAGCAAATGCCGGAAAAGTTAGAAACTCCGGCAAGCATCTCTAGCTAAGATGCCTTACCAAACGGTAACTGCACAGTTACCTGTGAATAGTTGTTCCCCTGGAGTATCTGGGGCAGCTGAGGCTTCCATTTTTTACCAGGGGTTCACTAGAAATCTAGAAAGAAACGAAGAGTTATTATTATTATTTTGACACTCCTACAAGGTCCACAATGCAGCAGTGACACAGGAATCTGAGCTCTTCTACACCCAGCTATTCAACATGCATCTGGCTCTCTTACAAGAACTCACACATTAATTCTATTTTAATAATCACTACCAGTTGCTAGCAGATATAGATTCATTTTTTTACTTGCCAGTACTGAATTTACTTGCCAGGTGGATGACTGAGAAAACTGAATGTCCCTCTAGGTAACAGGGCCTCACATTGCTTATGAACTGAATTTCTGGAGAGCTTCTGAATTTAGGTAAAAAGAAAAAGCACAACCTTGGAGGCCGTACACTTGTCCTGAAGCGTGTTTTTGGGGATTCAGAAAAGTGTGTAATTTCCCCCACACATTATTTTGCAATGCTTTTCCATCAGATTGCCTCGGAATAGCTCTGTCACACAGGTGGCTTCTGCAAATCCTGCCCTTTGCCCCATGCTTCTGTCAATTTAAGGCAGCGTTCGCCAAGCTGGTACCGTGCAGATGTTTGGGATGAGACAATTCTCAAATGCCCCTGCCCACTGGCTGACTGGGACTGATGGGAATCAGACTAAAACATCTGCATGGTAGCATGTTGGTGAAGGCTCATTTCAGGAATGCTGCCTGTTTCCTGGGCCAGAAGGCCCGGAGTTTATCGGCATTTTAGGCCATACTATTAAGATTGCCTGCCAAACCATATTTTACTTGTCTACTCTGTAAGGATGCTAGCTGGTTTGCCACTGTAAACATGGCCCCCACAGCATTCCTCATCCCCAGCTGTTGTCAGACTACAACTCCCATCATTCCTGACCACTGGTACTGCTAGCTAGGGATGATGGGAATTGTATTCCAGCAATAGCCAGTGACCCAGGTTTGAGAAACACTGCCAGAGTCTCGAACGCATCCCTCCCAAATGTCCCACCCCACATTTGTAAACTTTTCTGGACATAGACCTAGCTATGCATTTGCTACTTTGTAAAATGTACTCATTTTTTTAAAATATTCAAATATTAATTAAGATGCCTGCACCTTACCTTTTATTAATAATAAAAACACAAAGAAGGCAAAACATACAATAGAGCCCTTATAGGACAGCTGCCTGACAAGCTTTTCTCATATCTATGTGGGGAGAAAACTTGCCCTGCGGAATTTCTGCTTAAAAGGCACAGGCACCCTGCAAACCAGGCAGAAGATGGCAACCTTCATAACCACCTTCCCTCAAGCTATTAACTTTACTTTAGTATTCAAAGGGGAACCTGCAAGCATAATCATCATCCTTTAAAAAGCCAGCACTCAAATCTCCATGTTTAAAGGGGTTTCAGGCACCTATATTAGAGGGCAGCAAGCTCGTGTTTTTTTACTCAAGCTTTTTCTGTTTCCCAGTGCAGAATTATTGCCACTGTTCTCCTACTTTTAAGAAAATCTGTCACTTCCTGCACCCACCCAGACAGAAGGATAAAGAGACACTAATAATAATAATAGCAATAATAATAATAATGAACATATGGGAAAAGGTGTGGCTGATACTGTTAGGGAACAGGGCATGACGTCCATTTTCTCTCTCACTTCCACACACACAACCCCCTCAAGCCCTTCAAACACACAATCACACACAGCATCCATAGTGTATAATAAAAAGCTATTCCTTTTAAAAAGCAAAACAAAACTTGAAATCCCCCATAAGCTTATCTCGTTGATAAAATGCTCACACACTAATCCTTTAGTTGCTCTTATTTTTTTTATCTGTAAGCCGCCTTGAGTCCCTGGCAGGGGAAAAGGCGGGGTATATTATATAAAGGAATAATAGGACCGCGTTGAAGCCGCCAACCTCGCTAGCCTAACCCTCTGCAGAGTTGTGCAATATACCCTCAGCAGCCCTGCCGGCACCAGCGAAACTCCCCGACCCGCCGTCCCTGCAACCGCAATTCACTCGCTCCTTACTAGCGCAGCGCAGACCCTGCAAGACTCGCCGGGAGCTTCAGGTCAATGGCTTTTTTCCTAAAGTTCCCGCCCCTGTTCAGCGCGACTCGCCATTGGATGGAACGGAGGAATCCCTCTCTGACGTCATGCAGTTTGCAGTTCCAATATGTTGAGGCTGGTTACCCGCAGCAGCATCAGAGTAAGGTATACTCAGTGCCGGATTTACGTATAAGCTAAACAAGCTACAGTATAGCTTAGGGCCCCACTCTCTTGGGGACCCCCCAAAAAAATTAAAGGGAAAAAAACACCTGGATGTACATTTCCAAAATATAAGATAAAAAACAAATAAAATAAAATAAAACCTACATACAGCAACACTGTTTTGTGTTGTGTAGGCTCCTATAATGTAGGTAATGGGCCCCGCCTGCTAGCCTGCTCCTTAAAATATCACTGGTTTTGTTATGTGCAAATGGCTTTAGATACCTATTAGGTCCATAAATTTCCATATAGCATATATTCAACACACACCCACCCCAAAAAACCAATTTGTTGTTGACAAAGGACAGCTGGACATATAAAGGGCCCCATTACCTTCAGTAGCTTAGGGCCTCATCAGACCTAAATCCAGCCCTGGATATACTGCAGCTGAATATGGAGGTTCCACTCAGCTATCACGGAATATTGGCAGCTCAGGACAGTAGAGAGGAGGAGAAAGATTGGCCAGTCACTTTTGTGCATGTGACAGTATGCACAGCCATTTTGTGCTGGCACCCATGGCACTTTTTTATCAATACAGTGGTACCTTGGGTTACAGACACTTCAGGTTACAGACACTTCAGGTTACAGACTCCGCTAACCCAGAAAAAGTACCTCGGGTTAAGAACTTTGCTTCAGGATGAGAACAGAAATTGCATGGTGGCAGCAGGAGGCCCCATTAGCTAAAGTGGTGCTTCAGGTTAAGAACAGTTTCTGGATAAGAACGGGCCTCCGGAACGAATTAAGTACTTAACCCGAGGTACCACTGTATAACCAAATCAGCAATTTTTGATATAACTAAAAACTACTCTGAAAATTTATTATTCCAAAAATGAAACCTTCATCTGGTTGTAAATATTAAGATTATACCAGCGAGAATGAGTCTTTCTGTAAAAAAAAAAAAAAAAGATTTAAATCAGGTCTTAGTGATTTAAGTGATTTAAATCAAATCCACCCTGCTTGTGGTGAATATATGCACTTTCCCCCTCCATTAATGTTTTGTGGCCCTCTCTCGTCACCTTTTCTGCTGTTTTAGACGTGGCAGCCATTTTGTGATGTGGCAGCATGCCCCTACAGCAGCCATTTTGAGCGCAATGCATTAAACGGAGCCTGCGCAGTCTGTGTTACTGTTGACTGTGAGCATATTAGGAAACTTTCCAGGTTTTGGGGGTGGGCCTTGAAGAGACAAATAAACTAATGACGTGCTAGTCACAGAGGACATGCACAGATGGCAACGGTTTATCAGCTGCTCATGCCATAGGAGGATCCAAGGGGCCGAGGTCTCTTCTCCACCCCTACAAAATATCTGAGGGGGCTGGAGCCCCCCCCATAAAAAATTGATGGTCCAAATGATGTGCATGCTCCACATCTTGTGATCAATTATGTGGGGTGGGGCTTACCTGCCCCCCTCCCGATATGTTATCAAATTGGCACTCTTGGCTCCTGCTATCTACATTGCAAAGTGCTTTTGCAAAGTGATCGTCTACAAAAATGCTTTTAGAAAACTCCAAACCGTATCACTTCAGATGCTGTAAGGTGTGCAGGTGCCTCCTCTCTACTTTTTGCACCAAATACTTATATCCAACTGTGGATAAATGGGATTCTAATTTAAAAAAATAAAATAAAAATATTGCACCTAGTTTAGTTCGGGAGTTATGGGATTAATTTGATTCCCAGAGCCAACCCACAATTTCTGAGACACAGCTTCCCTTCTGAAACATTGCGAGAACCACAGAATTATGGAAGGGACCACGAGGGTCATCTGGTCCAACCCCCTGCAATGCGAGAATCTTTTATTAAGGTGGTGACACCCCCCCCTCCCCGCTGATTAGAAGATTATTGAAAATAGCAGTTTTCAGTGATGGGTGCCCATGTGAACCCTGGGACTGCTCCTCAGCCCAGTTGCAAACCACCTCCTAGCGTTCCGAGTCCTGCACAGATATCCGCTTTCCATTCTCTCTGGAAATATTTGCTCTTGAACATGCACATCAGCTATCTTTTGCAAGAGTTTGGTGTCACTGTCTTGTTGGGGAGGGGAATACTTTTTTGGGGCCAGAGCAGCAAACTCCCCCAACAAGTGCATGCACACTTCTTCCGATACACTGAAACAGAAGTCACCAGACCCTACTGGAAGGAATTTTTTTATTTTGTTTTGACTACAGCAGACCAACACGGCTACCTGCCTGTAACTAGAACTATGAAAGCCATGATTATTAATGGATGTGGCATAGAGATGTTTGTGGACCATCCTGGGCCTCCTCCATATTGTGTGGCTGCAGAAGAGCTAGATGGCAGGACAAGGTCTATGAGGAAGGTGTTGGAAACACAGTCTTCTTGGTTACCTGGCAGAGATAATGTTTTGGCAAACTGTCCGGGCCACAATTCTGCAACAGCCAGCAAAATTATCTCCCACAAGCCAATGCTATGGACTATGGGACTTCTACCTGATATAAACAACGGGCCCATAAGTTGAGGGAACCTCAAGATCTGCTGCCAATAGCCTTTCAGTTAGAAAACCAAGGAAAAAAAGAACACCCACATCTCAGAGGTCTAAGTTTAATTTAAAAACGTCACTCTCTTATACAATGGTGCAACTGGAGGAGCGAGAAGGAAACTGGATCAGCTGAGGAGAAAATGGCAAAGAGACCAGCTCCTGTAAACACAGCTGGCCAGCTACTTGTGGGACCCTCCGCTAAGAAAAGGCCTGCTAAAGGGAGACATCCCCAAACAATTCCAAGGACTCCAACCAACCAGCCTGGGGAGGTAACACCGTCCTCACTTCAGAGTGCTGGCGCTGCAGAAATAATTCCTGACACGACAAGCATCCGAGGAAGTCGTTGATCCCTCAGGGTTCAGCTGAGGAAGAGGTGGGAGCAGGGGCAGGAGGAGCCTCTTTTTGAACCAGTTCTGGCTCATCTTCCCCATCGTGCGGAGGATGAACAAGCACCTTGTCCAAGATGCCAAATTCCTGGGCTTCGACTGGGCTCATGTAACGATCTCTCTCCATGGCAGCTTCTGTGAGGGTTAAGGACACGTAAAGGCTTAATACATAAACGTGGGAAAACACCAAAAAGTGCGAGCCCACATACCAGGGACATAGTCCTTCTGAGTTCAGGAGGCCTTCAGAGTCTCCCTGCTCCATCCCAACTTCCCTCTCCACTACCATTCTGCACCTGAAGCATCCATGACTAGACACTGCAAGGACCCCATCAACCCTTACTTAAGTCTTCCAGGATTATTTGTTTACATAATAATAGAATCAATGCACAAACGCAAGTCCAGCCCTGACCCCACCCCGGCCCAATTAATCATCTGACAGCACCTCTCAAGGCTGACCAGGGAGGGAGCTGGGAGAGAGAGAGAGAGAGAGAGAGAGAGAGAGAGAGAGAGAGAGATGTCAGTCTCCCAGGGTGAAAGACTGGGAGGAGAGAAAAAAGATCCCAGGTGAGGGCTGGGAGGAGCTACTGTCCTCTGTGGGTGTTAAGGACCAATAATTACTTTTAAGAGTAATTCAATTTGCATCTTCTGTAGTTGTAAATTAGCTGTCTTACGGGAAAATCTGAATTAAAAATATATATTTTTAAAAGGAAATTGTGTTATTACAGAAGGAATTCTTGTTTTATTTGTTTATTCGCCTTTTCATCAAAGGGAATCTGCAGTCCTACGGATGTTGTTGGACCACAGCTCATATCATCACACTGGCTGGGGCTGACATATCTGAAGGGTCACAGGTTCCCTTTCTCTGGTTTATACCCTGCCTTTATTCCTCCATGGAACTCAAGTTGACATACATGTGGATCTCAGGTGGCCATCCACCCAGACACTGATGAGACTCAGACTTGCTTGGCTTCAGGTGCCTTCAGAGCCTGCACTGGAACAGAAAGCTTCATCTCACCACAGTGGTGTCCAAGGAAGGAACAGATCCAAACTGGAGGCTGGAACAAGCATATGGCCTCCTTCTCCCTTGTCCGAATGCTAGATATCTCCCCTGGCACACAAGGTTTTGTCTCCCTGCCCCACCTTCTGGCTCTGATGCTTCTTACCAATCACATCCAGGGATTGCTTCGTGTGCTTGGCATAGAGGGCATTGATCTGCTTCTTCAGTTTGAGGATCTCCTCGGCCTGGATGGCAATGTCTGTAGCCTGACCCTAGAAGTCAGGAACCAGAGTCAGTGGAAAATGTTACCCTGTCATCTGCTGAGGTCATTCACTCATCAGTGAGTGCTGGGAAATGCAGAGGATGGGTAAAGGTAAAGGACACCTGGACGGTTAAGTTCAGTCAAAGGCGCTCATCTTGCTTTTAGGCTGAGGGAGCCTAAAAAACTGCAGACAGTTTTCCAGGTCATGTAGCCAGCATGACTAAACCACTTCTGGCGCAACAGGACACTGTGACAGAGCGCACGAAAACGCCATTTACCTTCCTGCTGCAGTGATACCTATTTATCTACTTGCACTGGCATGCTTTTGAACTGCTAGGTTGGCAGGAGCTGGGACAGAACAATGGGAGCTCATTCCACCGTGGGGATTCGAACTGCCGACCTTCTGATCGACAAGCCCAAGAGGCTCAGTGGTTTAGACCACAGCGCCACCCGTGTCCCCTAGGCAGAGGATGAATACAAGATCTGCACCCTATGTCCCACATCCTGGGGAGCAATTTGCCCAGGGAAGCATCAAGACAGGGTGCTGGCTAGAGAAGGTGGTGTGGCCCCTGCAAGAGAAAGCAGCAACAGCAGGGTTTGACTTACCCGTGCCCCACCTGACGGCTGGTGGATCATTATGCGGGAGTTGGGTAGAGAGTGGCGCATGCCTGGTGAGCCCGCAGCCAATAGCAGGGAGCCCATGCTAGCTGCCTGCCCCACACACCATGTGCAAATGGGGTTCAGGATGTACTGCATGGTGTCGTAGATAGCCAGTCCAGATGTTACCGCACCACCTACGGAGGGAACAGAGAAGTCACTAGCGGTCCCCAAATTTAGGCACAGCATGCCTTCTTAAGCCATTTCTTTTTTTAACCACCCAAGTGACATTAAGGATAAGGTAAGAGAGAGGAGATTCTGTAGGGAAGCTGCTCTGATGTCACTCTGTGCTTTTTGCTGCCTCTCACCTGGGCTGTTGATGTACATGTGGATGGGCTTCTTGTTGCTTTCCGACTGCAGGAAAAGTAGCTGTGCAATAACCAAGCTCGCAACGTTGTCATCAATCTGTAGATGGGGAATGCAAGGCAGTGGATGAGAAGCAGGGGAACTCCTTGCTGCAGGAAACCCATTTCCTGCTCAAGTCAATATATACCTGAAGTCAAGTATACCTGAAGGAGTGTCTGCACCCCCATCATTCAGCCTGGACACTGAGGTCCTCCTCTCAGGGTCTTTTGGTGGTTCCCTCACTGTGAGAAATAAGGTTCCAGGGAACCAGGCAGAGGGCCTTCTCGGTAGTTGCGCCCACCCTGTGGAACGCCTTCCCTTCAGATGCCAAGGAAATAAACAACTATCTGACATTTAGAAGACTTCTGAAGGCAGCCCTGTTTAAGTTTTTAATGTTTGATGTTTCAGCATGTTTTTAATGTTCTGTTGGAAGCCGCCCAGAGTGGCTGGGGAAACCCAGCCAGATGGACAGGGGAAAATTATTATTATTATTATTGTTATTACACATGGACACACTGTGTCAGAGGACCCATTTGCCTCGCTGCAGAAGGAGTTTGTGTACTTACTGGGCCCATGACACAGACTATGCGCTCTCTCAGAAGGCGGGAGTAGATGTCATAAGCTCGCTCGCCACGACCCTGAAACAGAGAGAAGATCAGCACAAGTACCCCCAAGGCCCGGGATGTGGTGCTGGTGGAGGAAGAAAGTCCGAGCATATTTCAGAAGGAAGGACCTCCAGTCTCATACGAAGGAAACAGCTTGCTGGAAGCTTTCTTTAGCATGGTTCTAAGAGCACTGGAACAGTTGCATGCTGATAAAAACCAAGCCATGCATCGACAGAAGGCAGAGTCATAAATAAATTAGGGGACTTAAAACACGGCTGCACCGTGATTCTGGTCTCCACAAACTCCATCCCTGACACTTTGACTGTCACGACCAAAAATAATTAAAATTAAAAAATCATCCACCCTTAGGGAGATATAATAAAAGATGTGCAGGCAATAATTTGTGCCATCAGAAGGAAACCTCCTCCAATTGCAAAAAGACTAGCACAATATACAAAGCCCTGTCCATATTCTTAAATTTTCTTAAGAGCCTTTAAATGCAATTGCATACTATTAAATGTAATCTGTCTGCTTGTAGTTAGGTCTCTGCAGTTTTTGCATCGATGGGCCTGCAAAGTAGCACAACCCTTAACAAATTACTGCTATGAGCCTGGCACTAACTGCCAGCCACCGCCACAACCACCTGTTATAAGTGATTTCAGACTTTGCAATTCCTAGTCTGCTCCCTTTCCCAAAAATATGCTGATAAAGAGGAGGACCTCCCTACCCTCCCCTGTGCTTACCGTTTGCTCCACTACAATGGGAATGAGAGGGATGTGACTCCGGGGAGACTGGTGGAGGCTCCGAGCCACAGAGAGAACATGGCTTCCCAGCCGCAAAGGGTGCTGCAGGCAGAGAGAAGGCCAGTTACCAAACAGACAAACACTCACCCCTGTCAATAACCACCAGCAGCTCCTCTGTACTCCTCCATTCAAGGTGCAGCATTTTCATTAACACCCTTTCAAATTCACTGCCGCGTTCATCACTGCACCCTCATGGTCAGAGGGAAAGGGAGGAGACTACGCTGCTTTTAGCACCTGTGAGTGTAGTGGAAGGACTCAGCAGGGATGCCAGGTCAAAGAAAGCCAAGGAAAGGTGTACTTTCATGAGAGAACAGCAACACGTACCCATCAGTCTTTTTTTGTGCATTTGAAACACTTCACACAGCGCAACCAGCTGTCGCACCTGCACGGCAGGCTAGCATATATCCCCATGAGTTTGTCTTCGAAGACAACACTTTGCGTTTGGTGATTAGAATCAAAGAAGCACGGAGTTGGAAGGGACCCCAACTCTAGTCCAGGCTTCCTCAACCTCGACCCTCCAGATGTTTTGAGACTACAATTCCCATCATCCCTGACCACTGGTCCTGCTAGCTAGGGATCATGGGAGTTGTAGGCCAAAAACATCTGGAGGGCCGAGTTTGAGGAAGCCTGATCTAGTCTAACCCCCTGCAATGCAAAGAAACTCAACTAAAGCAAAATGCTGTATTGTTTTTAAACGCTGTATTGTTTTTAATATTCGGCTGGAAGCCACCCAGAGTGGCTGGGGAAACCCAGCCAGATGGACAGGGTATAAATAATAAATTATTATTACTAAAGCATGCATGACAAATGGCCATCCAGCCTCTGCTTAAAAACCTGCAAGGAAGAAGAACCCATCACACCTTCTGAGGGAGTCTGTTCCACTGTCAAAACAGCTCTGTCTGTCAGAAAGCTATTCCTAATGTTGAGTGGGAATCTCCTTTCTTGCAACTTGAAGCCATTGGTTCGAGTCTCACCCTCCAGAGCAGGAGAAAACAAGCTTGCTGTACATGACAGTCCTTTAGATATTTGAAGATGGCTTTCATATCTCCTCTCAGTCTCCTCTTATCCAGGCTAAATGTACCCATCTCCTTAAACCTCATCTTCTTAGATGTTATACCAGTTCTCATTGCTGGCCACGAGCAATGATGTGCTACAGGGCCCACAGCAATGTCACAGTACCAGGATGAAACTATCACCTCCGTGTACAACCTGCATAGGCCCTAAGAGCTGCCATTCACACCCACCTCCTTCTTCTTCTGCAAGGGACGCCTCTAAGGTTGCACACCCCAAAAGTATTTGCCACCCCCCAATAAACACCGTAAGTGGCTTGCTTTAAGCAGTTGGCCAGTATGTGTCTTGACCCTTCTCCTCCCACTGCCCTGGCAGCACCACAAAGCAGAGAGAAGAGCACATGTAGGCCTTTGAAGAGAGACAGACCAGGCACTGATCCTGCGGGGCTACTTATAAGGAGATGCTAAGCATCTGAGTCTTCCTGGCTCCGAAAACCAACATAATACAGGTTTATAGAATCATGAATGGATGCTCCAAATAAAATGGACATTCTTTGCCCCCGGCCCACTCCCAACCCATCCCCCAAAAACCTCTAGAACTCTTGAGTGACCACACTGAAACTGAGGAGTGGTACATTCAAGAGAAAATAAAAAGTACTTTCCCACACTTGCTACATCCTTTTACAGTGGTTGTAGCAACAAGAGATGGCGAGGACTGGACCATAGCTGTCAACGTTTTCCCTTTTTTAAGGGAAATTCCCTTATTCCGAATAGGATTCCTCGCAAGAAAAGGGAAAAGTTGACAGCTATGGATTGGACAAAATGCATGGATTGTTGTGTGTGGTGTTGTATATTTTGCTGCTGCTTCATCTTGTAAACCGCCTCGTGCATACGAATTAAAAGTGGAAGCGTGGGGGAAACTGAAAAGTCTATTCAAATTAAGTCTATTCAACATCTGTCCCCCGCAACAGCTTCAAATGGTACTTCCAGTTTAAAGGGGCCTTCGACTATGGGAGAGGGGGGCAAAAGGCTGCCACCACCACCTTCATATTCCGCCTCTGAGGTTGCAGAGGAGGCTAGAGAGGAGCTGTGGGGTGCAAGGCTCGGATCACTTCCTTGGCTCTTTGCATTCCCCGCGCAGCCTGGCGCGGCTGCTTGCCTTTGAGGAGACCGGCGGGTGGGAGCTCCAGTAGGCGCTTGAGGCAGGAAAAATCTATGCAAGGGATGGCTCTCGGAGTGGGGGGGGACTGCCCCTTCCACCGCCCCCCCTTCCTCACTACTGCACCCACAGTCCCTGATGCACCCACCCTCCAAGCCCCACCCACGTGCACTTGCCCCTCACCACTATCCTTTGCAACATGCTGCCCCGGAAGGTCTTTCTTGCTTGCCACCGTCCCACGTGGTTTTTAAAAAAATTGTGGGGGTGGGGAGAGAGAGAACGCGAATCACGTGACAATAGCCGAGGCGCCGGGGTTGCGACGCCGCCGCGGTGCACCATGGGAAATGTAGTATAACATTTAGGTGCTGGTGCTTTTTGTTTGGTTTGGGTTTTTTTTAAAAGCGGTTTTAGTATTAAGCTGCTCTAAAGAGCGTCATTCATTCAGTGCCGGATTTACGTAGAAGCTAAACAAGCTATAGCTTGGGGTTTTTTGAGGGGGGGGCCAAAAAAATTTAAAGGAAAAAAAACCCTGGCTGTAATAATAATTATTTTACTATTAATATACTTTTCCTTAATTGTATTTCCTGTCAACAATTACTTTGATAAAATACATATTTTGTTATGTGCAAATGGCTTTAGATACCTATTAGGTCCATAAATTACCATATCATATAGCATATATTCAACACAAAAACAGCGACAAATTGTTGTTGACAAAGGACAGCTGGACCTCATCAAACTTAAATCCGGCCCTGCATTCATTCATTCATTCATTCATTCATTTTTAAGCAAACGGGATTTTAAAAAATAAGTGCACGGCAAGAGGAAAATCAGCATTTGTCAGACGGCTGCGGGGGAGAACCGAATTGTTTGCAGGTCAGCAAGTTCAGAGGTGGCTAAGATGGGCAGCGCTCCGTTCTTGTGCCTTCAATAGCGATGGGATCTGCAAAAAGGAGCAAGTGAGGCGTCTCATGGCATGCACATAAATTTCCTCTAATGCCAATGTGCCTTTAGGGTTGCCATATTTAAGAAAGTAAAAACCAGGACACACCGAAAGTTATTGAGATTTTTTGAAAGGAAGACCCGAAAGTTGTTGACCTGGTTTTAGCCACTCACATTAAATGTCTACAGATGGTGACATTGCTCTTAGCTACAGGAAAAGAGGTTTAAAAAACCACACCGCAAAAGGGTACCTTACATTTCCAGGTGGGGATGGAAGTCTGTCACACACTGTCCTTCTTCCAGTTTCCGCTTTCTGCGCCAGGTTTCTAGCATTTATATTTTGGAGACGGCAAAATTTGCAAAAAAGATAAGTTTGTGCAAGATCAGATCAGAAGAATCTTTATTTGCATCAGCCACTAGCCATAGCAATAAAATAAAATATACTGAAGATAGAGGTAAAAACCTAACTATGGAAAATACATTTTTGAGGTTTATATCAATAAAGCTTGTGCAAGAGTAGTGGTAGCAGCTTCTGCATTGATTTAGATTATATTCTGCATGTGGGTGTTGTTTTTAAAAAACCCTGAGTTTTGTCGTGACTAAATGAATTATAATGATAACAACGTAAATAAATGTTTACTGCTGAGTGGCTCACAGGCATCCAATCATACAGCAGGATACAATATCGAATCCGCCGCTGTTATGAGCTTACATCACAAAGTCAGCTGTGTCTGTTACGAGAAAGTCTCCTGGGATCCCCCTGTTTTGCTATTGTACACTCCTGCCTGCTGACTTTATTATAGATGCTTTCAGATCCATTCTACCATGTCCAAGACCTGTATTTCCATTACCGTCCGCACAGTGGCAAGAATGCCAGAGAAATATCCTGCCAGCAACAGCACAGGGAAAGCTGCCTGCATAATATTCAGAATCCACCCAGTAGACGTACAAAGAAATCAGCCCTGTTGTAGTACATGCCAGTGCACCGAAATACCTTCATACATGCAGGGATCTTTCTTCCTTTATGCAAATCACTAATTTAGGATGCAATCCTAGCCCCCCAAATACATTGGCTGGGAGAAATTAGGCTGCAATGTACCTTTCCCCACCCCACTGATCTGGCCTTAAGTCCGTGGAAATAACTTATCCCAGCCTATCTACTTGTGTCAGCTAAGGGAAAGACCTGTTGGTGGAATTTATTATTTAATATTATTGCTAGCATTTATTAAATTTATACATCACCCTCTATATGAAGATCACAGGGCACTTTACAAGTTATGCTGGTATCAGACCCTCCAAGTGTCCCTATTTTCCAGGGAGAATCCCAGATTTACAGAAACTGTCCCGGTTTCTGATTTGATCTCAGAATGTCCCGCTTTTCCTTAGGATGTCCCTATTTCCACCAGAGAAATGTTGGAGGGTATGGTAAAAAGGTAAAGGTAAAGGGACCCCTGACCATTAGGTCCAGTCATGGCCGACTCTGGGGTTGCGGCGCTCATCTCGCTTTATTGGCCGAGGGAGCTGGCGTACAGCTTCCGGGTCATGTGGCCAGCATGACTAAGCCGCTTATGGCGAATCAGAGCAGCGCACGGAAATGCCATTTACCTTCACGCCAGAGCGGTACCTATTTATCTACTTGCACTTTAATGTGCTGTCGAACAGCTAGGTTGGCAGGAGCAGGGAAGGAGCAATGGGAGCTCACCCCATCGCTGGGATTCGAACCACCAACCTTCTGATCGGCAAGTTCTAGGCTCTGTGGTTTAACCCACAGCGCCACCCGCATCCCTGGAGGGTATGGTAGGAAGTCCCTATTTCCACTGGAGAAATGTTGGAGGGTATGGAGTTATGCAAACCCTGTTCCATCTGAAGGCAGCCCTGTATAGGGGAGTTTTTTTTAATGTTTAATATTTTATTATGTTTTTATATATGCTGGGAGCTGCCCAGAGTCGCTGGGGCAACCCAGTCAGATGGGTGGGGTTTAATTATAATTATTGAATAGGACATCCCTATTTTCATCGGAAAAATGTTGGAGGTATGCGGTATAGAACTCAAAAAGGGCTGTATCAGGCTCCCTCTCCTTTTCTGAATGTGGGTAATAAAACTGTGCAAAATGAAAGCTGCAGTTTCCCCTAATTTCAGGTGGAGCAATCTTACACACTCATTACTGGAAGAGGAGATTTAGTGGAACAGCCACTCAATCCTAATTTGCCCTTCAGTATGTATATCTTCAGTGTATTGTTGCCTTAATCCTCCCACTGAATTGTATGGGGTGTTAGGGGAGAGGTAGTCCCTTTGGTAGGAATGCGGGTGATGTTCTGGTCTAAACCACTGATCCTCTTGGGCTTGCCAACTGGAAGGTCGGGGGTTCGAATCCCTGTGACGGGGTGAGCTCCCATTGCTCTGTGCCAGCTCCTGCCAACCTAGCAGTTCAAAAGCACACCAGCGCAAGTAGATAAATAGGTACCGCTGCAACGGGAAGGTAAACAGCATTTCCGTGCGCTCTGGTTTCCGTCATGATGTCCCGTTGTGCCAGAAGCGGTTTAGTCATGCTGGCCATATGACCCGGAAAGCTGTCTATGGACAAACACCGGCTCCCTTGGCCTGAAAGCAAGATGAGCACCACAACCCCATAGTCACCTTTGACTGGACTTAACCAGGGGTCCTTTACCTTTTAGCTGTAGTCCATTTGGTGGGGGACACATTGTTCTCCTTCTGGTGTAGTTTGCCTACCTTTGGTCCACACCCTGCACTCAGCTCTCACCTATGTCTCCTAGAAGCTTTCAGCATGCAACAGCGATCACACCCCGGGAACGGCTTTAACTGTCTGGCAAACCAGGTGAGAGTATCCATTGGGTTTGAAACCATTGGTGAGTTAGGGACTTCCCCTGCATGCGAAGACAGGCTCTGGCAGATTGAGCAGACGAGACCAATAGTTGGTCCAGTGATCAAGAAGGCAGTTTCTGCACATGCTGAAGAAGGAAGTGAAGGTCAAATGTGGCTCCTCAACCTGTGAAGGTAGTCCATCCATGGGAAGGAAAACTCTGACCCCAAACCTCCACTGCCTTGCAGGATATCTTCAGGAGAAGATAAGGCTAAGGAGTACAGTGGTACCTTGGGTTACATGTTGTTGTTGTTGAGTCGTTTAGTTGTGTCTGACTCTTCGTGACTCCATGGACCAGAGCACGCCAGGCACTCCTGTCTTCCACTGCCTCCCGCAGTTTGGTCAAACTCATGTTGGTAGCTTCGAGAACACTGTCCAGCCATCTCGCCCTCTGTCGTCCCCTTCTTCTTGTGCCCTCCATCTTTCCCAGCATCAGGGTCTTTTCCAGGGAGTCTTCTCTTCTCATGAGGTGGCCAAAGTCTTGGAGCCTCAGCTTCAGCTTCAACTTGGGTTACATACGCTTCAGGTTACAGACTCCGCTAACCCAGAAATAGTACCTCAGGTTAAGAACTTTGCTTCAGGGTGAGAACAGAAATCAGGTAGTGGTGGCGGGAGGCCCCATTAGCTAAAGTGGTACCTCAGGTTAAGAACAGTTTCAGGTTAAGAACGGACCTCCAGAACAAATTAGGTTCTTAACCCGAGGTACCACTGTAAACCCAACACAAAACCAGAGTAGAGACCCTAAGGCACCTTGTATATCTCCTCCCGGCAACCTGCAGCCCAGCTGGTGCCAAACATGCAGTGGTACCTCAGTTTACGAACTTAATCCGTTCCAGAAGTCCGTTCTTAAACCAAAATCATTCTTAAACTGAAGCACGCTTTCCCTAATGAGGCCTCCTGCCGCCGGTGCCCTTCCACCGTTCTGATTCCGTTCTTAGACCAAGGTAAAGTTCTCAAACCAAGACACTTTCTGGTTTTGTGGAGTTTGTAAACCAAACCGTTCTTAAACCGGACTGTTCCTAAACCGAGGTACCACTGTATTGGTCTGTTTTCCTTTGGACCACATCAGTGAAGCTGAGATGGGGATCTTGTCATCTGGGCAGCCCAGGATCTCCTAATTCTCCAGGCAGGATCCAAATATTAAGTAAACTCATTGCGGAGGAAACAGAGTAATTTTAAAAAGAGGGTGTGGGATGTGGAAGACCACACAAGTACAGAACTAATATTTTAATAACATTCAGATTAACATATCCGAACCAATAAGGAACGAAATGTGGTAATCCCTGGTACTAGAATATTTGCAAGAGATAATAAGTAGGCACAGGGCAGATAAAGCACCCATCGGTTATGTCCACTGATTCTCCCCTAAAAGCTACCTTACCCCTTTCATCAGTGTTATGTACTGAAAACAATAGAATCCAAAATG